TCCCTACATTTGTTATGGTGGCTTTTACTATACGGAAATATCGGATTTTTAGTAAGTCAAATTAATCATTTCTCTTAGGGCTTCTGGGCTCTGTTTGATGCTCTGAAGGGGCTTCCCCACTATATGATTATTAAAAATGTTTCTCCATGGTTTCTTCTATTACTTTTATGGGTTAATGTTTTACATTTAAACCATTCTATCTATAATTTATTTTGAATATACTTAATTTCCTTGGCACATGGATCTATTTCTGGATTTCTCTTATGGTCTGTTCTCTATTTGTGTGCTATCACCACTCAGTTTTTTTTTTTTATAATTTTTATTTATTTATTTTTGCTGTGTTAGGTCTTCATTTCTGTGCGAGGGCTTTCTCTAGTTTTGGCAAGCGGAGGCCACTCTTCATCGCGATGCGTGGGCCTCTCATTGTCGCGGCCTCTCTTGTTGCGGAGCACAGGCTCCAGACGCGCAGGCTCAGTAGTTGTGGCTCACGGGCCTAGTTGCTCCGCAGCATGTGGGATCCTCCCAGACCAGGGCTCGAACCCGTGTCCCCTGCATTAGCAGGCGGATTCTCAACCACTGCGCCACCAGGGAAGCCCCTCACCACTCAGTTTTAATTATTGTAGCTTTTCATTATGGTAGGAGTAGTCCCTCACTCATAGCATCTTTTGTTGTTGATTTTTTCCCCAACATTCACCTATTTATCATTTTATTTTCTTGTTAACTACCATATCATTTTTTGATAAGGACAGGAAAAGCCTTACACATGACCTGGATCATTAGCTGATTGATTGAGGGAAATTAAACATTATTAAAATACATCACTCAAACATTTTATTTTAATTTAAAACATCCTAAATTTACATTTAATTAACAGTCTTTGGGTATAGGGTCAAACCTCTTCTGTGAGAATGAATCCACTGATGGAGTTCCGTATCATCTTTCTTGTATAAATTACACCCATAATACATCATACAGGACTTCCAGCTTCCATTTCTTTATGTTGGACTAGCAATTTAAAGATCCTATAATATGAATATAAAACGTTCTACATTTTTAGGCTTTCTCCCCCCAACTTTGAAATTGTCTTGTCCCTACTTAATTTGACATCAAGTTTTTATTGAGGTTTTTGTGTGTACATAAGTAAATTGCTGGATCATATGGTAAGAGAATCTTTAGTTTGAAAGAAACTGCCAAACTGTTTTCCAAAGTGGCCATACTATTTTGCATTGCCACTAGCAATGAATGAGAGTTCCTGTTGCTCCACATTCTCACCAGCATTTGATATAGGCATTGTTCTGGATTTGGGCCATTCCTTTTTTTTCTCCTCCCCTTTGGGCCAATTTAATAGATGTGTATTGTGTTGTTTTAATTTGCATTTCCCTGATGACATATGATGTGGTGCCTTTTTTCACCTGCTTATTTGTCATCTGTATATCTTCTTTGGTGAATTGTCTGTTAAGGCCCTTTTTTTTTTTTTTTTTTTTTGCGGTACACGGGCCTCTCACTGTTGTGGCCTCTCCCGTTGCGGAGCACAGGCTCCGGACGTGCAGGCTCAGTGGCCATGGCTCACGGGCCCAGCCGCTCCGCGGCATGTGGGATCTTCCTGGACCAGTGCACAAACCCGCGTCCCCTGCATCGGCAGGCGGACTCTCAACCACTGCGCCACCAGGGAAGCCCAAGGCCCATTTTTAAAATTGGATTGCTTGTTTTCTTATTGCTAACTTTTAAGAGTCTTTTGTATATTTTGGATAACAATCCTTTATCAGTTTTGTCTTCAGCAAATATTTTCTCCCTGTCTGTGGCTTATCTTCTCATTCTCTTGACATTGTTTGTCAGAAAGCAGAAGTTTTAAATTTTAATGAAGTCCAGCTTACCAGTTCTTTCTTTCATGGATCATGCCTTTGGTCTTGTATCTAAAAAGTCACCACCATACCCAATATAGGTTTGCTCCTATGTTATCCTCTTGGAGGGTTATAGTTTTCCATTTTACATTTAGGTCTGTGATTCATTTTGAGTTAATTTTTGTGATGGGTATAAGTGTTGTCCAGTGTTTCAGCACCATTTGTTGAAAAGACTATCTTTGCTCCATTGTATTGCCTTTTGCTTCTTTGTCAAAGATCAGTTGACTATATTTACATTGGTCTCTTTTGGGGCTCTCTAGTCTGTTTCACTGATCTTTCTGTCTGTTCTTTTGCCAATACCACACTGTCTTGATTATTGTAGCTTTATAGTAAGTATTGAAGTCAGATAGTGTCAGTCCTTTTTGAAGAAAAACATTGTTCTTCTCCTTCAGTATTGATTGGCTATTCTGGGTCTTTTCCCTCTCCATATAAACTTTAGAATAGTTTGTAGATATCTACAAAATAAATTGCTAGGATTTTGAATCAGATTGCGTTGAATCTATACATCAAGTTGGGAAGAACGGACATCTTGACAATATTGAGTCTTCATATCCATGAACATGGGATATCTCTGTAACTTAGTTCTTTAATAGCTTTCAGCAAAGTTTTATAGTTTTCATCATAGAGATCTTGTATATATTTTGTTAGATTTATACCTAAGTATTTCAATTTCGGTATTACTAATGTGTATGGTATTATTGTGTTTTTAATTTCAAATTCCACTTGTTCATTGCTAGTATATAGGAAAGCAGTTGACTTTTATATATTAACCATATACCCTGTGACCTTGCTATGATAACACTTACTAGTTCCAGGAATTTTTTTGTTGTTGATTCTTTCGAATTTTCTACATAGGCAACCATGTCATGTGTGAACAAAGACAGTTTTATTTCTTCCTTCCCAATCTGTATTCCTTTTATTTCCCTTTTTTTTTTTTTCGTCTTATTGCATTACTGGCAAGGTATTTCCTGACTTCAGGGACAAAGCATTGATGGAACCAATCCAGAAAAAGGGTTCTTGTTGTCTGGGCCTTCTTGTTGTACAACCAAAAGACTGGCAGCTGGTGTTTATCTTTTCGCTTCAAGGCTTGAAGGTTAGCATCTTCATAGATAAGGGCAATTCTGATCATAAACCCAACTACATTTGCACAAAACAGTGGAGTAAGCCTGTCCCTTCCTTCTTAAATCCTGGTGCTCGCTTCTCTTCCTTACTAGTAAGTGTCCTTTGTGGCATTTTGTTCCCAGAATAGGGCACTTTCATCTGCATTAAAAACCTGTTCAGGCAGATATCCTTTCTCCTCAGTTATTTTCTTAATGGTGTCTGTGAATTTGTCTGCTGCCTCTTGGTCAGCAGAAACTGCTTCTCTAAACCTCTTTCTAAAATTTTCAAACCATCCTTTTCAGGCATTGAATTCCCTAGCTTTAGATCCTCCACCTTCTTTTTGCTTTCAGTTGTCACATAATGACTTTGCTTTTTCTTGAATCATATTAGAGTCCTTAGGTTTGCCTTCCCTATAGCAATCCTGTAGCCACATAAAAGCTGAATTTTTCAATATGAGATTAAAAGGTATTTCTCAAAAAGTACAAGGTTTTTGTGCCTGCTGGAGTAGCTGCAGGCACAGCTTCACGAATTTCCTTTTCTTTTTTTACCATGGTCCTTACACTGGATTCACTTATCTTGAAATGGCGGGTAACTGCAGCTGCAGGCCTCAATCTACGGTGCATATCAAGCAATTCAGCTTTTTCTTATAATGTCATGACTTCTCTCTGCTTCTTGGGAGCACTCCCACCATCACTAGTAGCACTTCGTATGGGTCCCCTGGTGTTATTCAGGGTTTTTGGTATTACACTAACACAATGGAAAATACACAAGAACTGGGAAAGGTCACTTTTTACTGCAGTATACAATTTACTGGAGAGACGAACCGCTCATACAGAGATGATTAGTGTCACATGGCATTTTGAGGGGACATCACAACACTTGAGCTCACAACAATAACAACAGGAGGTGGCTACAAAATTATTATAGTAGTACATAATTGCATAAAATTAACTACAGTTAATTTTATGCAATTATTTAATACTGCTTCTTAACATTTGTTTATATTTCTCTTGACTGCACATGGCACCATCTATGGTCCATAAGTGTTTGTGTGTGTAAGTTTTGGTAAACTTTAACTTTTTATAATGTTTGTATATATTTTATGGTAGTAAATGATAAAATAGGATAATGTCTACCTATATTTTATGCATTCATGAGATCTCTAACTTTCCTAATTTTTTCAATATTTCTAGGCTGTGCAGTTCATCTGCAAGTTATTTTCAAATTGTTGCAAATCTCCAATAAATTTTCCAATATATTTATTTTAAAAATCCACTTATAAGAGGACCCACCGTTCAAACCCGTGTTGTTCAAGGGTCAACTATATAGCCTTCTATATTATATGCATTGTATTACCTCCTCAAAAGAACAATTAAAATAATTTTTAACAATTATTCTTTAAAAGGGTGAACATCTGTATGTATTCCTTTTATTGCTGCTGAGAACCTTTGTTGAGGCAAGGGAAGGTTAGGCTTGGCTTTTTTTTGGCCATGCCACACGGCATGTGGGATCTTAGTTCCCTGACAAGGGATCGAACCCACGCCCCCTGCATTGGAAGTGTGTGAAGTCTTAACCACTGGACCGCCAGAGAAGTCCCAAGTTAGGCTTTTCTTTTTCCTCTCTTTGAATGTCAGTATGAGAACTAGATGTGGTCCAAAATGGTAGCAATTTGTTTACCTTCTGTGTCCCTGAAACAGGTGTATTGCCGCCAGACTGATTACTGGCAATTTGTGAAAGACATCCGCTGGCTCAGTCCCCACTCAGCCCTTCATGTGGAGAAGGTAAGAGGTGAAGGTAACCACAAGGCTTTGATGTTTAATGTTCTGTATGAACAGTCTCCTAGGCTAGAAGGATGGCATATGTCAAATTTCCTGTTAACTGAGGAGAGGAAATTATCCTTGTGGGACTGATTTGGAGGGGAGGATGATTTACTTTAAAAAATAAGCTTTGCACACCCATTGTTCTAGGCCACTTTCCCTCCTCTGGGGAAGACCTGAAAAAATTTTGTTATTTTCAAAAGATTTGCAAATATGGGACCAGAGTGAAGCTTTTCAAAATCTAGGACAAATGGCAAGAAGTTTCCTGAATGGTTGGGGGTAAGTAGGACTGATATGCTGATGACTGTTTAAGGAGAAGAGGATGCACCAAATAGAAAAAAAATGTGAGGTTTCTGGAGACCAGTGTCAAATGGAGCCTAACATGTTCCCAACAGCACTGGAGAGTAGAGTAGCAGTGTACTCTTCCGTCCTCTCAGCTCAGCATAATACCCCTGATTCCCAACCAGGGACACAGAGCTCCAGGAAGTTAGGTGACTTGGCCAGAGTTACACAGCTAGTTCCACATCAATCACAGCCAAATTTATATATTTATTTATTTAACCCTTGCCTATGGAAATTTTCAAATACATTCAAAATTAGAAGAGTGTAATGAACCCCAAAATATCACCCATCTTCAATACTTATTGATTCATGACCAGTCTTGTTTCATGTATATCACACCCACTGACAGATTCATTGCCAAGGTGATGTCTGGAAAAGTAACTTATTTTTAAATGATCAGGGAACCAAATCACAAGGTGTCACTCTGGCCTTTTTTGTGAGAAAAGCCCAGAGCCCAGTGATTTTCTTACATGGATTTTTTTGTCCTTATCACTTTATTTTTCCCACCAAACCCCCCTCTAACTTTTTTCTCTAAAATATATCGTGGGACTTCCCTGGTGGTGCTGTGGTTAAGAATCTGCCTGCCAATGCAGGTGACACAGTTTCGAGCCCTGGTGCAGGAAGATCTCATATGACGCGGAGCGACTAAGCCCTTGTGCCACAACTGCTGAGCCCATGTGACACAACTACTGAAGCCCGCGCACCTAGAGCCTGTGCTTCTCAACAAGAGGAGCCACCGCAATGAGAAGCCTGTGCACCACAACAAAGAGTAGTCACTGCTCGTCGCAACTAGAAAAAGCCCGCGCACAGCAACAAAGACCCAACGCAGCCATAAATAAATAAATAAATAAATAATTTTAAAAAATAAAATAAAATATATTGCTGTAGTCATTTCCTCTTAGAAGCTGCCTGAAATTGCCGTCCATACAGTTTTTGCAGTGATCCTGAACTATGAAACTTAGCTTTTAGAAACAGCCAATAGAAGGGGAAGTTCCAAATAGAGAAATGCTGTGGCGAAAGCCAACAAGACATGCTCAGCTGATTTCTCTTTGGTGAAGAATGTTTGGGGGCATTTTTCCTAGATTTTTTTACCCCAGGTTTTTCTTGCATTCTTTTCTGGAGGCTACCTGAAATAGAGGACTCTGTGAGAGAAGCCGAGATGTCAAGTTCATTCTTCCTCTGAATACCCCGAGAATAGATGCTTCTTTGGAGTTACAACATAAAGAGACAGACGCAGCAGCTTTGTCCTCTCCAGGAGCTGCATATCACGTCTTAACTGCTTAGTCCCTTTCTAGTCGCCCAAACCAGCAATGGAGCCATTAATCCTTTCCTTCCCTCTCCTTCCTCTAACCTGTAGATGTTAGCTGGAGGGCAAATATCTCTGATTACCTCCTCTTACCTGTCTCAATTTAGTTCTCAGGTCATTAGGCCTCAGTCTTGCTGGATTTACCAGGAAGTATATATTTTTAAAATTAATTAATTTATTTTTGGCTGCGTTGGGTCTTCGTTGCTGCGCGTGGGCTTTCTCTAGTTGTGGCAAGCGGGGGCTATTCTTTGCTGTGGTGCGCGGGCTTCTCATTGCGGTGGCTTCTCTTGTTGTGGAGCATGGGCTCTAGGTGTGCGGGCTTCAGTAGTTGTGGCACATGGGCTCAGTAGTTGTGGTTCACGGGCTCTAGAGCACAGGCTCAGTAGTTGTGGCGCACAGGCTTAGTTGCTCCACGGCATGTGGGATCTTCCTGGACCAGGGCTCGAACCCGTGTCCCCTGCATTGGCAGGCAGATTCTTAACCATTGCGCCACCAGGGAAGCCCTGGATGTATATTTTGACTCATGCTTCTTTGCCTCCTAGTTCATCAACTTGCAGGAGAACGGCCAGAGCAGCACTGACGGCATGAGTGAGCGTGCCGTTGCGGAGCTGTGGCTGCAGCATAGCTTGCAGTGCCACTGTCTCTCAGCCCAGCTCCGACCTCTGCTGGGGGATAGACAGTATATCAGAAAATTCTACACAGGTGGGTAGAGGTCACAGAGCCAGTACTGGTACATGTACTTCCTCATTCTCTTCTCCTTTACTCTTCCTTTATAGACCCACTGTTACCCCAGGGTCTCATACTTTTACTTGATGCCATAGAGATTCTAATCAGAAACATGTATCTAGTCTTCTCTCTCACTTGCTATGTAAAATGCAGTCAAGCTTTATGCTAAGGTATTTCCCTACTCCCATATACGCAACTCAGTAAAAGTAGCTACTATTTACTGAGAGTTTCCTATGTTCCAATCACTGTTATATATTTTTTATACATATATACCTAACAGCTGCCCTGAGAGCTGGGTATTGATACCCCTGTTTTCCAATCAGGGAAGCAGAGCTCAAGGAGGTTAGGTTACTTGGCGAAAGTCACCCTGAGCCAGAGTTCAAATCTGAGTCTTTCTGATTTTGAAGCCTCTTGTCATGGCCTCTGCTATACTGCACATGATTTAGCCTCTTCTGTGCATTATTTGTCCCTAGTTCCCCTCTCTCCACAGTGGTATGATTCTCCTCAAGTCATCTTTGCCTTTTCGCTCTTTCCTTCCCTGAGCTTCTCCCAGGGCCATACAGGGAGGCTGAAGTTCTCCCTAATGGGCTCCATCAATGCGGTAGTTTTCTCTCCCCAGATACTGCTTTCCTGCTAAGCGACTCCCATGTCACGGCCATGCTCCAATGCCTAGAAGCAGTGGAACAGAACAACCCTCGTCTCCTGGCTCAGATTGATGCATCGATGGTAAAGTGGCCAAAGGATTATGTGTGTCTGTGTTCTGGCCTGCTAGGCCTCACCATGATGTAACTGTATGTAGCAAGCTACTTCACTTAGGCAATTGTGAACTGAAAGGCTTTCGTTAAAAACAGAAACAAAAACAAAAAACCCGAGAAGAGGAGGTACCATTTAAGTACCTATTGAAGTAAAATGTCTATTTGTAAGTAAGCTTAAGTCTATTTGGGGAGGGAGGTGTCTATTTTTTTAAATCCTTAAAAAAATCTGTAGTCTGAGTAAGCACTTCCTTAAGGGCAGGCTTGATAAAATGCTAGGGAGAGGAGGGATGATTTTGAGTCAGGCTGACTATAGATAGGGCGTCAGATGTAGTGTGGCCTGATGTTACACAGGATCATTTTGGTCCAAGAAAATTTTGTTGTTTTATGTTGCTTATTATTAACTCTCTAATTCACTCATCCCGTCACTAATATCAGTGCCTCCACTAGAAAGGAATCACGATCCCTATTTCTTTTGTGAGGGATCCCCTATCTCTCCTGGTTTTTCAATTTTGATTCTTGCATACCATCTATTGAATACTTTCTACGTGCCAATCATGGTGCTATGCACAGTACATGCATCATCTCATTTAATCCTCAGAACTCTATAAAGTAGGCATTAATCTCATTTTATAAAGGTGGCCACTGAGGGACAGAGTAGATAAGTCACTTGCCCAAAGTTTGGACCAAATAACTTGTAAGTGATAGGGCCTGGATTTGAGCCTCAGAGTATCTGATTTCTAAGTGCATAGTCTTAAGCACTTTGCTGTACTGCCTCCATGATAAGCATTTCTGGTCTGACCACCTAGGATTCCAGTGCAGAAGCTGTGGTGTATGGCAGGACTTTGAAGTTTCAAAGTTGTATGCTCTAATAGAGGATACCTATGCTGTATCTACTGGCCTTGACTGCAGTTCAGGCCTGCTGCCAAAGGCCAGTTCCTACCAGCGTTTCTGTAGTGCTAAGTGCTCCTCTTCTGAGGGCCTCTATCCTTGACTGACACGTGTTTTTTTTGTAGTTTGCCAGAAAGCATGAGAGCCCGCTGCTGGTGACAAAGAGCCAGAGCCTGACAGCTCTGCCTGCTTCCACGTACACCCCTTCAACCAGTTATGCTCAGCATTCCTACTTTGGGTCCTTCTCTAGCCTCCACCAATCCATACCCCATCATGGCTCAGGTATGGGGGCAGCAAGGGGTAGTCAAGACATGTATCCCCAGGCCTGGAAAGCAGAGGACTTAGTGGGTGCTCACAGGCTGGCTATAGATGGAGCCTTGGGTTGATGCAATTTGTCAAACTTCATGTCTTAATATGGAAATCTTAAAGAGGTATAATAGCAACTAGCCTAAGATAATTCAGTAGAATCATTAAAGTAACAGAGGCAAGAGATGTTTTTAGTTTCCCCTGGGTTTCTACTCCGCATTGCCAGAAGACATTTCAATGATAATAGCTAACATTTATTCAGTGCCTGCCATGTGCCAGGCTCTGTTGTAATCAATTTGTATATATTATCTCGTTTGACCCTCAAAACAGTCCTACGAGGTAGGTGTTATTATTATTGCTCATGTTATAGATGGGGAATGCATACTAATAAGCAATGAAGCCACTGTCCCAAGAGCTTATGCTTTTGACTTAGCTGCTTCTAAGTAATTTTTTGCTTACCTTGAACGATTTAGCCTTTTCTGACGTGACACCATGTGTCCTGGGCACCCAGTAACAATAGGGAGTTTGGTCCTTAGTTGTGGAGAAGCCCTTCACAGGTGCCAGAGGCTTCCAGCTCACCTTTCCTTTCCCTTTCTTTTTATATCCTAGAAAGAAGATCTACTTCCTTTTCACTCTGTGGCCCATGCCAGAAACCTCAAGAAAGCAGAGGACATGTCTCGCCAGCAGAGGATCAAACCGTCCAAGCCCCTCTGCTTCCAATCTCTGCATTAGCCGGGGACTCCCCCTCGACCCCAAATGAGATGAGCTCCAGCACTCTGACCAGCCCCTTAGAAGCACCCTGGGTCAGCAGCCAGAATGATTCCCCAGGTGATGCCAGTGAGGGGCCTGAGTACTTGGCCATTGGCAACCAGGACCCCCGAGGCCGGACCGCCAGCTGTCAGAGTCGCAGCAGCAATGCTGAGAGCAACAGCTCCAATTTGTTCTCCTCCAGCAGCTCCCAGAAGCCAGATTCTGCTGCTTCCTCTCTAGGGGACCAAGAGGGAGGTGGGAAGAGCCAGTTGTCCAATGTCCTTCGCAGGTCTAGCTTCTCAGAGGGGCAAACACTCACTGTCACCGGTGGAACAAAGAGGAGCCATACTCGCTCCCATTCGGATACCAACATTGCCTCCAGAGGAGCCCCAGGTAATGATAACCACCAGCCCGTAGTCAGTAAGGCGGCCTCCTGAATTTCAGGTGGAAGGGAGAGTTTGTTCTTAAGGGTCTTCAGATGGCAGAAAGAGAAGTTATGTTTCTGATGATATGAAGAGTATATTGCTTATAATGAAAAAGAGAAGTTTGTAATATAATGTGGATACCTAAGAAATCTCTCTGAGAATATTTATGTTTGTTCCTTTATACATTGCTAAATAGTAAATGCTTTCCTGGATTCTTTCACTGGTTCTTTAGTACCAGAGGATAGTGTGACTAATCACAGTCCAAGTTTTAAATGCATCTCTCAGAAGAGGGAAAGTACTAATGAGCTTTAAAAATAATTCCGTTAACTTCCATCCCTTCCTGTGATTCCTGAGAAATTTGGTCAGGATATAATAACAATAAGAGAGAGGCAAGCTGATGTTAGGGTTTCCTTATTAACACTAGAGATGTAGTGAGCATGAGGTGATGGGACATAGTAAACAAGTAAGTGGGGTTGACTGCTCCATCACTAGTTCAGGTTGAAAGGCAGTCGGGTAAGGAGGCCTTGGCTACCAGGACCTCCTTCACACAGACACCAGCTGCTAGCAGAGAGCACCTTAGGCATGGCCAAGGTGGTGTCATTGCTTTTGCCATTTCCCTACTATCATCTTTCCTAGGTTGTTGGTGTCTGGCAGGCTTTGGTTGGGTTTCATTCATAAGAGCATCTCCATAAAAGCAAGCGGAAGGCCGGTTTGTGCTCAAGGCCAGTTCTGGGTGGAGAAGCCTCAGAAATAAAATATAAAAGTAAAGTATAAAAAATTAAGAGCAAAAAAGGAAGATTTCCTTTTACAACTAGAGCTGCTTTTGATTTCTCTTTATAATTTCTAAAAGGTGAGAGCTAAGGCCTTCATTTGAAACTTCTGAATTGCAAACTTTTGTCTCTGTTTTCCCCTCAAGAATGTGGTTTGGCTCATTGGAACTCGTTAGAAAAAAAATCTCCAATCAAAGCCTGTCTTCCCATGAGCCTTTGTAGATGTGAAGAGTGCTTGGGTTAGACCCTTACTTCACATCTGGAGCAGACCTGGTGTCTGCTGTATTCCAGGTTACTGGTGTTTGAGCATGTAAAACTTCCCTGCCCCCATTCTTGCATCCATGCGGATTCCAGAAACTGCGGTAACCTGCATTGGAAAAGGGAGCCAGAGAAAACCTAAGCAGAAGGATCTGAGGGAGTGTGGGTCATGTGCAGCTTCTCGTACGAGTCATCTTTCCCTCTGCGCTAGGGTTCCCTCTCAGGAGTTAAGCCCCAACCTTAGCTAGATAAGAAGACGCTCTTTTTCTCACTCTGTCTATTCTCGTGTTCTGGACTTTTCTCTGCACCTGTCTGTCTACATACAGGAGGCCCCAGGAGTATCACCATTATAGTTGAAGATCCCATTGCAGGTTTGGGAGCCAGTCCTGTCTGTCCAGCCCCCGCCCCCACCTCCTCGTGTTCCTCTGTGACCATCTTGCTTAGTTTCGAACTTTCTTTTCCATTCTGGTGTCAAATCAAGTCTGGCTGACCTGGTCCTGTAGTTATGGTTAGACCTGTTGGTAAAATAATACCGTTGTTTTGCATGATACGTTTTTTGCCCATGACTTCCAAATGCCTCATTCAGTCTCTCAACAGCATCCAGGAGATAGAATCAAGACTTGTCAAGCCTGTATTGCCCAAAGGTGAATCTGAGGTCTGCTGTTTGTCTAAGACATCATGATGAATCAGTGGCAGAATTTTTCTTATAACTGAGTACTTACTACAAATTACTTTATTTTCCATGATTTAACACCAGAATGTGTTTTCTCCTCTTTCTGTGGTCTTGGATGTGAGTGCATGTTTTTGCCTCTCCTGGAGTCCCCTGTTTCCTTTTTCTTTCACCTGTCTTCCTTCCCCTGTAAATTTCTCCCCCACCCCCTCATTCCAGCCATTGCACAACGTTTTTCTATTGACTTAAGTCTGTTTCTTTGGTTTTCACAGTGGTGTTCAAACTGCATATTGTGTTACATTCTGGGTACATCATGCATGGAGATATTGATGCTAGAATGTGTCTGCAAGACGCAGTGGTAAGGGAGTACTGAAAACTATGGCCTCCTGGTAATGGGTGAAGCCACTGGCTGTGTTAGCTTGGCAAAGAGGTTAAAGAGGAACAAGTCTGCGAGACCTTTGTTTAGAAGAGTGTTGTTGTTCTTAAGGAGATAAGAAATTGTAAGACGACAGATTTCAAGTCAGTATGAGGAAGTTCTAAGAATTAGAGCCGATCAGTTGAATGGGCAGCATCAGGAGGTAGTGAGCTCAGTGAGCAAAGGCTGGATGGCCTTTACGTGCTGTAAAGGAATAAGATTCTGGTGTTGGAGTTTGTGTTGTGCACTGTGTTTGACTGGGGACCTCAAAGGTTGCCTCCAAATCATGGTTTCTTACCAAGGCATCATGGTGACTGCTGGTTTGTTGTGAGGAGCAGAGCCCACTGCCAGGACCACCAAGGGAACACAGAGTTATCACTTACCACGTAGTAGCATTTTTTGTGAGAGGAGCAGCTGACAAATTGGCACCATCTGTCAAGGAAATGGGTTGGATGCTGCTCAATCATTAGTTCTCCCAGCGCATGCTGTTCATTTCTCAGGCACCCACCTGCTTTGCTGCCTGCTCTTCTTTCTGTGGCTCTGGGAATTTTGTGTTTACCTTTGGACAATATCAGTTTCCATTTCCTGTGAACCATGCCTGCTGCTATTCCTCCACTCTCAACTCTCAATGTTCCTTGAAAACTGCTACCCAGACACTTCCTACTTTGCCAGGCTTCTCATGAAACCTCTCCCTTCCTTCTCCAGGAAGGCTGGGTCTACAGCCCTGTGGCTGAGCCCTTTGGTTACAAGGCCATCATCCTTGGCTTCTCTAACATTGTCTTGATGCTTCTTTTAAGGACATTGCTGGGTGTTATTTTGTTCTGCCAGTTGAGAAGTGGGTTAAATTTGTAGGTATGACAAATTTACATTTCAGGTGCAAGAGAGGCCATATCCTAGTGTTTGTTTAGTGAGTTTAACCCTTCTGATATTGTTTTAAAGTCTAGTGTCAAGGTATCAGAAAAGTTTCAGTGTGCTTGTCTCCATGTGAGGACTGTTTTCTAAGTTGGTTTGTCAAGAGGGTAGAAATTGGCTGATATTCCTGGAACATTTGGTAAGAAGATGGAAGAAGAGAGAACTAAATTCATGAATCCACTTTGATTTGATTCTTTTTCGCCTCTGTGTTGCCGCTTTCCAGGTCATGTTTTCTCTTTTCCCCTTAGAATATACCGACTTCCCACCTCCCTTCCTCCATGTGTTCCTGCATTCTTGGACTGTTCCCTGTTGGTGTGCCACCTCTCTCCTATTCGGGAGGGCATTGGGAATGGGAGCAGTTAAATATTGAAACTGCAAAGTTGGGAATGTATGTGTCGCTCACCTCGTATGTGTGTTTTTACTCCCTGGTGGCCACTGACACTAGAATCCTGCAGTGATAAGTCGAAGTTGAGAGGCCCCTTGTCCTACTCTGGTCAAAGCAGTGAAGTCAGCACACCCAGCTCTCTGTACATGGAGTATGGTAAGTGAGTACTAGGAAGGCCAGTGCTGCAATCGTGTCTTTGCTCTGCTCCCCCCATGCCTGCCACACTCTGAGCTGTGTAGCTCATCTTAGCTCTGTGGAGGGTACACACCATACAGTCTCACCCTCCCTTTCATTATTTTCAACCCCTGTGCCAGAAATCACACTACCCTGCCATTTCTCTCGCTCCTCTCTGCCTTAGGGGTCCCACTGTCTCGTGCTGTGGGTGTTATCACCGTGAATGTCTGGTGAGCCAGCTGGAATGGCTCCCTGAGTGGGTGAGAGAGACCTAGAAAAGAGGCCTTTGAGTGTCCAGGCTTAATTACCGAAGATAGGCTCCACATGGAGATCATCCACAGGGAGAGCCATTTCTTTCCTTGTCTGACTCACAGCACAGGTTTTTTGGTTTCTTTGTTTGTGGGTAGGAGGATGAGTATGTCATCTTTAAATTTAGGTGGTCAAAGGGTTGTCTCCAGGCTCTCTCCATTTATTCCACCATTCGCTAACCCAGGGGCTTAGTGCTCTGGGATCCCGAGATTCAGAGAAATTCCTGTAGAAGGTAGACATCTTTCCAACCTGTTATCCGGGAAGACTTGGGAGCATCTTTAGTGTTAAAATCATCAGACTTCTTAAAGAAGCTTGTCTGTAAAGAAGATTTGCTTTTCAAAGCAGGGCTTTTCACATCCACATTCCATTTTCCCACAGAGGGCAGTCAGTACCTGTGCTCAGGAGAAGGCATGTTCCGAAGACCATCAGAGGGACAGTCACTCATCAGCTACCTGTCTGAGCAAGACTTTGGCAGCTGTGCAGACCTGGAAAAGGTGAGGACTCTAAGGAGCCACTGAAAAGCCCATGAGTTGGGAGATCTGGTCTGAGGGCTCCAGTGCCATTTGTCCTAAAGAGGTTTTGGGTACACAGCAATAACATGGGTGTAGACTACAATACAGGTAAGTCACAGTAAAGATAAGCTCAACAAGTTCTGTCTCTGGAAAGCTCTTCTGGGAGCCTATGCGCCTCACTGAGTCCAGAGATATTACTGATTTTGTCTTAGAAGCTACCCTGGACAGAGAAACATTGAATTTTAGTCACATGATTACTGTTTCCTTGACCCTGGAACCTTAGGTAAAGACTGTCTCCAGAATCAACTTCTATATTTTGTTCTAAGGCTCAGATACGTGATAAATAATGTCCCTGTAGCATTTTATAGCTTACAAAGCACTTTATCTTGAGACATCACATTTACCTTAATACTTTGTATATAAGTGTATGGTTTTAGGAAAGACCTGACCTCTTCTCTGTCATATTTTTATGTGGAAAGTGGGACAGGAAGGCCAGGCATGGCCAGATACAAGAGCAAAGAGAATGTACAACAGGTTTTCTGGCCATCAGCTTTCATTATAGGAGCAGTGTGCATTTCCCCTGGGTGTTTTGAATGAAAGCAATGTGCGTTTTGGAAGCTACTTTCCAAGAGTATAATCAGTGAGGTGTCCCCTTTTTGGTGCTCTTCTTCCCCAGGAAAATGCCCACTTCAGCATCTCAGAATCCTTGATTGCTGCCATTGAGCTGATGAAGTGCAACATGATGAGCCAGTGCCTAGAAGAGGAGGAAGGGGAGGAGGACAGTGACCGGGAGATCCAGGAACTGAAGCAGAAGATCCGCCTTCGTCGCCAGCAGATCCGCACCAAGAATCTGCTCCCTGTGTACCAGGAGACTGAGTACGGAAGTGAGTGAGGCTGTGACCGCCTGTTCCTGCTTCTTCAGCCTTCGGGATAAGACCTAGTACCTCGTGGGCTTTGTTTCTTGTCTTCGTATGTTCATGTGAGATGTTATACACAAGCCAAGGGTTCCTCTGCTGTCAGAAAGATTTTCTGTGTTGTTCTAATTTTTCTTTTTTTCTACCAGACCAGAGTCCTAGAGCTCATCCATTTCCTACCTCTACATGTATATTATAAAGTATCTTATTTGTGTTATACTCTTACATGTTATTATCTTTTCTAAGAAAACAAAGTCCCTATTATTCCTATTGCAAAGCACACAGGAATTAAGAAAGTACAGTAATTTTTGAAAAGAAAAATCTGGTAAATGTAGTATTCTTAACTTGTTCTATATTATACCTATTGTCTATATAGGTTTAATTTATAGCTGTCAGTTTAACATCAGCATGTCTGGCAAAGAAAATTAAACTTTAAGAGTTTTATAAACTTTCTAGGTTGCTAAAGAATTTATTTTTCTACTATATATGGTATAGACAAAGCTCAAAACTATGCACAGGAAAAAAGCCTGACTGTTTCTTTTGGAAGTAGGCCGAAAAGAGAATTTTGAGGACTGTTCATGTCTTCACTTCATTTGGTCATAACTTTGCTATTGTAATATTTAAGCTATTCTCTTCTATACTGTGTTAATTTAACTTTCATGTACATTTAGTACAACTTTTGTTATTAAAATTAGCATTTACCATTTTCAAAAAAAAAAAAATATATATATATATATCAGAAATATCTTCCAAAAAATAGGTTTCTGATATGAGGAGAACTAAGGCCACTGGTTCCAGATTCACTTTCCAGAGAGTGGTACTTTCTGCTCACATGAAACTTTTTAGGGGATCAATCAAGAAGGGGAAACTAGCAAGAAGAGCTAGTTTCCATTTCCCCAGCATAACTCCCAGCCAAGGTTCTATTTACTTCTATGTTCAAGTCATATCAGGTCCCTTTTGTTGTGACCCTAGAAAGAGTAGGAGACCTCTTCTGTCCTATTTATTACTTTTTTTTTTTTTTAATGTAACAGGCTTTCGGGTCACTTCCAACAGCTCCCAGTTCAGTTCACGTGATTCAGCACAGTTCTCTGACTCTGGCTCTGCTGATGAGGTTGATGAATTTGAAATCCAAGGTATGAATTAACACTTTTCAAGGGAACTTTCATTAACTGTTTCTTTTAATTTGGAATCATAGCCTGAGAAGCTTTCCCTAAGCAGGGGGTCTTCATTATGCTTCATTATGGTATGTTGTCGGCTGTTGTAAGAGATAACTTCTCCTGTTAAAAACAAAGCCTATTTAAAATTTAAGCAGAAAAGAGCACTAAAAGGAAGTATTCCATTGGAGTGGGATGGCTATTGATGTCACCATGATGCTTCTTCCACAGTTGCACCTTTCTCTCAGATTCTCACTCTAATTCCTCCTACTAGCAGTCCAGAGCTAGCCCACATCTACGTGAAATTAGAATTCTATTCTCTTGTGTCCTATAACACAACTGAAATTGTTTCAAAGTGTTTAAAAGGAGCTTTATTATAATCCAAAGAGAAAATGACAGAAAGAGTCACTGGGAGGGAAAAAGCAAAAAGGGGGGAAAAAAAAATCAAGTTTACAAAGTGGAGCTTTATTTTCTGTCCTACCAGCGCTAATTTGCATAGCAGAATCACAGACATGTTGTGAGCTTCTTCTTAGAGAAGGGGAGGGGCTCTTATCTGGAAAGGCAGTTGTGTTAAATCAGGTTAACCCATGATTAATGGGTTACTCCATTCCTGAAAATCATAAATTTCTTCAACTTCCTGTCAGTGCAATCAACAAATGAACAGATGGAAAACCAAACAGACAGTTCAGGGATGTAAGTCCTTCCCCCATGGCTGGAACCAAGACTAATTTTCTTATAGAGATGACTTGTGTCTAGTTTTCCATTGTAACATGATGGTAAATAGATCTTTTACTGCATGAGGCTCTGATTTCCTGTTTACGCCAATCTCGAGAACCCATTCAGCTCCAGGTATGGTAGCTGAATTTCTTCCCCATTCAGAAATACAATTTTTACACATATTTTTCCAGGTCTCCAGGAAGTCTTCCTTCTGTGTTCTCCTTAATGCATCTGATTTCTATTTATAGCAATGGTAGTCACTTAAAACTCCATTTTTTCCCTTTGTATGTGGTTTTCCAACAGTTCTCCAGTTCTCTGACACAAAATGAGTGTCCTACATTTCAATTCTGGCACTAGTTCCTAGAGTTAGCACAGACCCTACAGATTGAGGATTCAGTCCCACGAGATGGCTCCCTCTTCAGATGCCAGCTGCTAATGGGGTTGCCAGGATGCCTGTACTTCTCCCTGGCCAACTACCAACCCAGGGGTTCCCACAACTCCCTGCTCACGTTTGATAATTCACTAGAATGACTCACAGAACTCAGGGAAGCGCTATACTTATGATTACAGTTTATTATAAAGGATACAAATGAGTAGTCACATGAAGAGGAGGTACATAGGGCAAGGTCCCAAAGTATCCTGAGCACAGGAACCTCCGTCTCCATGGAGTCAGGGTGTGCCACTCTCCCAGTACATCGATATGTTCACCAACCAGGAAGCCCTTCCAAACCTCATCTTTATCGAGGTTCATTCAGTAAGCATGAGTGATTAAATCATTGGCTAAAAGGTCTGATCTTCTAAATAGCTTTTTCTTCTGGCAGCCAACCCCATCCTGAAGCTATCTGGGTGTCCCCATGAGTCATTTCATTAACTTAAGCTCGGATATAATGGAAAGGGGCTCATTATGAATAACAGACATTCTTATCACTCAGGAAATTCCAAAAGTTATAGGAGCTCTGTGCCAGAAACTGGACAGAGACCAAATATATATATTTCTTATTACAAGTCACGATATCACAGTACCATAAAAAATAGCTATTTATTTATTTATTTATTTATTTATTTATTATACCACAGTCTGTGATTGACTTGATCTCCAAATTAGAAGAAAATAGGAGGGCTCTGCCCTTTCTCTCAGGATCAGCAGTTGGAATTTCATGTGGGTAATAATAAGGTAAATCCAAAACATGGTACTTCACTGAGTGTGGAACAGTCCACTTGACTATAAAGTCTGTTCCTTGCAGCAAAGCAAGGAGCCAGGGGGATTTGTTCAGACTGAAAGGAGCCAAATTTGAAATAGCCTGCCTGGGGGTGGCATGAGGTGTACTCCTATTGGAAACTGTTGCAGCATTTGTGGCCCCAGAGGAGGTGTTTAATCAACTAACTCTCTAGTCAGTTCAGACAGAAATCCTTAAAGGAAAAGACCTTAGGCAGGGCTTGTCAACCTCTAGGCCAGATATTTCTTTGCTGTGATAGACTGTCTTGTGTATTGTACAGTGTTAAGCATCATTCCTGGCTTCTCTACCCACTAGATGCCAGTAGCATACCGCCCTTCTCCCCAGTTGTGACAACCAGAAATGTCTTTGCCAAATATCTGCAGTGGGTACAATATCCTCCCTGGTTGATAACCACTGCCTTATGAGGTCTTTAAGGCTAGGCTGGTTTGGGGAGGCAGCAGTAACTGTCTCCCAAGCCAAAGTGAGAACCTAACTATGGATGTAGGTTTCTAAAAGCAGTGCCATCTTTTGGAGCAAAAGTCAAGTCCTGATTCCAGGAACATGTGGTATAGAACTGTCATTCTCATCAGTTTACTTCCTGTCTGAATACTAAAGGGCACCCTTTTATAATCATTATTATACAGATGGTAGTGAAGGATCTAACCTGACTCACATGTCAAAGAATGGACTTTCAGTATCAGTGGCCTCGCTGTTTTCAGGTAGCCTGTGTTGGAAGCGTGGGTGTGCTCATACATGCATGTGTGTGAATGTTTGCACCAGCTTTTGTACATACCTGTGATACCTGTCAGGGTTATGAGGACTACAGCATCTGGAGAACTATCTGGGGAAAACTGGACTTAAGCTAACTGGGAACAAATTAGATACTCATTTTCTTTCTTCCTTTCTTTTTTTTTATTTTTTAATTAAAAAAATTTTTTATTGGAGTATAGTTGATTTAAAGTGTTAGTTTTGGGCTTCCCTGGTGGCGCAGTGGTTAAGAGTCCGCCTGCCAATGCAGGGGACGCAGGTTCATGCCCCGGTCTGGGAAGATCCCACATGCCGCGGAGTGGCTGGGCCCGTGAGCCATGGCCGCTGAGCCTGCGCGTCCAGAGCCTGTGCTCCGCAACGGGAGAGGCCACAACAGTGAGAGACCCGCATACCGCAAAAAAAAATAAAGTGTTAGTTTCCGCTGTACAGCAAAGTGAATCAGCTATACATATACATATATCCACTCTTTTAGATTCTTTTCCCATACAGGTCATTACAGAGTACTGAGTAGAGTTCCCTGTGCTATACAGTAGGTCCTTATTAGTTATCTATTTTATATATAGTACTGTGTATATGTCAATCCCAATCTCCCAATTTATCCCTCCTCCCCTTTCCCCCCTGGTAACCGTAAGTTTGTTTTCTAGATCTGTGGCTCTATTTTTTTTTTTTAAGTAAGTTCATTTGTACCATTTTTTCAGATACTCATTTTCTTCTTCCTCATAATACCCCAGCAATCTTCACTGAGATTATCCTTGTTAATCCTTCTCTACAGTGATACTTTTAGATTAAGTGGTCATTGTGGCTGATGGAGATAGTGGACAGTTTAGAAAGGAGGGGTCATGTGAAGAAATTACAGTTCAAACCTATAGCTAAATACTGCCACACATTCAGACAGCAAAAGTCCGATAAGATGGTATGAAGCTTAGAGTCTCTTTAGAGTTTTGAATTTGCAGAGCCAACTTTCAGAAAGCTATCTCTTCTAGGTACTTTGTATACAATTAGGATTTATTGCTGCAAATGTTTGGTCTTAGTAACTGCTTTGTGATCCAAACAAGTAGACTTTCTGTAGGTGGAGTTGACTAAAAGTAGTAGTTTTCTGTTCACAGTGGCTTTAAAACACACAAACAACAAAATTCAGGGCATTTATTAATTTGATTAATAGTTAATTATTTTATTAATTTAAAATTTTAATTAACAGTTAATTTTAACGGTTAATATTGTCAGCCACTAGAGTTTGAAATAATTACATGTGTAAGATTAAATTAAGATTTAGAGAAATAAAAGTAATTAGGTACCTTTTACTCCTGAACTGTTGTAATTTATTCTAACAGTCTTCTCTTGCTTGAGAAGTAACAATCATAAGTCATTTTTTTTTAGTTTGGTTTTTTTTTGGCCATGCCACATGGCTTGAGGGATCTTAGTTCCCTGACCGGGGATCGAACCCAGGCAGTGAAAGCGCTGAATCCTAACCACTGGACTGCTAGGGAATTCCCCTAAGTCACTTTTAAACTGGTTTCTGATGTGTTTACAACCAGAATCGTTTGCCTGTGCATTTGCTGACTGTCAGGTACTTCTTGGTTAGAGCATAGTCATCAGTCTGCTTTAACCATGAGGCATACTTTTATTTGGTCTTCCTAGCATCCTTTCTTCCCCCATTTTGGGAGCTTTAAAGCGTTTTTTTGTACGCCAAGAATTTGAAATATTTTTCAACTAAAGTACTACTTTTTCTCATGATCCACAATCCCAACACATTCTGAGGGCTTGGAGGGTAAGCAATCAGAACAACCCTCTCTCCAAAGTAGTGACTTGTTTGACTTTCTACACACAGATTCCCGATTATGAAAGCATAATTTTTTTAACATCTTTATTTGAGTATAATTGCTTTACAGTGGTATGTTAGTTTCTGCTTTATAACAAAGTGAATCAGTTATACAAATACATATATCCCCATATCTCTTCCTTCTTGCGTCTCCCTCCCTCCCGCCCTGCCTGTCCCTGTCCCACCCCTCTAGGTGGTCACAAAGCACCGGGCTGATCTCCCTGTGCTCTGCGGCTGCTTCCTACTAGCTATCTGTTTTACATTTGGTAGTGTATATATGTCCATGCCACTCTCTCACTTTGTCCCAGCTTACCCTTCCCCCTCCCCGTGTCCTCAAGTCCATTCTCTAGTAGGTCTGCGTCTTTATTCCCATCTTGCCCCTAGGTTCTTCATGACCTTTTTTTTTTTTTTTAGATTCCATATATATGTGTTAGCATATGGTATTTGTTTTTCTCTGA